ATCATCCTGATGGGACACAAAGGAGGCCACATCCCTGTGGTAGAGTGGATTCGAATCCCGCCAGAAGAGGAGTATGTGTCCTTGGAAAGAATATAGTCAATGTTATCGTTTGGTCCAATGGTTCTCAGCCAAGAGCCCTTTACCATGCTTTTGGAGACTTTACCTTATAACACATCAAACAGGTCAAAATTCACCCACAACCTGCATTAAAAGCGCTCGTGATGGGATTTAATTCAGTTGCTTGCCGAATTGACGAAATGTTACCTTTGGTTCATTCCATTAAATTCCTCAGTGGATCTCAACTATGTGAATTTTTCTTTTTTAAGTTTTATTTACTCATTTGACAGAGAAAGAGCACAAGCAGGGGGAGCAGCAGAGGGAGAAGGAGACGCAAGCTCCTCACTGAGCAGGGAGTTCAATGCCAGGGCTCAATCCCAGGACTTCAGGATCACGACCTGAGGCTAAGGCAGACACTTAACCAGCTGAGCCACCCAGGTGCCCCTAAATTTCTGTTGGTAATATGGAGCTTCTCTCCCCGACACTTCTCCCCTCACCCCCACCCCAATATCCATATAAGCCCTGGAAAGCCCTTGTACTGTACCTACCTTTCCAAACTTCTGGTAGGTAGCATCTCCTGAGCTCCCACCTCCTAGGATTTTAAACCTTTGTCACTCTCAAACCCACTGTACCCTCACATTTCCACCAAACACATACGTCTAGTAGATCCCCTACCTTATTTTAGTATGCCAACATTTCAGTTTCAGAGAACAGAATTGGGAGACCCAAGAAAATCTGCCTTGGCTGCAGGGCACTTGTGCTACTATCCAGGCTCCGGAAGTTAGAATGAGATCTACCCCACCCTATACTCCTATAATCTAATCTCAGCAAGTACTCCCAACAGCAGGCACATCACAGATTCTGAGTCTGGCCTCCATGTTTTCAGCCCAAGTTCACAAAAGATAGATTCTTTATATCACCAATGTATCTTCCCTAAATGGGGAAATATTTATATTTTCTTTATTTAATACTGAAGCCTACAAAAAGTTTTGCATTTTTTATGTAATAAAGTCCATCAGTCTTTTATCCTCACGGTCTTTACTCGTATGCTGTAAAAAATAGTTCCTAGCCACTCAGAACCCGCCTTAGATATTTGTTTACTTATGTTTCCTTCCAGTTTATGTTTGGGGATTATGATTTTTTTAAAGATTTTATTTATGTATTTATTCATGAGACACACACACACACACACACACACACACACACACACACACAGAGGCAGAGACAGAAGCAGAGGGAGAAGCAGGCTCCATGCAGAGAGCCCGATGTGGAACTCGATCCCGGGACCTCCAGGACCACTCTCTGAGCCAAAGTCAGACGTTCAACTGCTCAACCACCCAGGTGTCCCAGGCATCATGATTTTAAATTAAACTCTGTAATCGATTTGAATTTTTTTGTATATAGGGTGTAATATAAAGTGAAGGCCATTTTATCCCTTTTTAAATTGTGGAATATATTGTTAGTAAAGGAAAAAAAGCATAAAATATGTATTATGGTTTGATGCAAATTATACATGTGTCTTATAAAGGGAGTTTCTTTTGTTTTTAACTATATTTTATGGCAATTGATAACAGATTGAATGATTTGAGTTTAAAATTTTTGAAACATTTTACTTGAAACTTTTCATTTTCTCTTCCTTGCAACATTTTATTTTTTTTAAAGATTTATTTATTTATCTGAGAGCATGAGCAAGCAGGGTGAGGGGCAGAGGAAGAAAGAGAATCCTAACAGACTTCCCACTGAGCAGGGAGGCCCACTCAGGGCTCCATCCCAGGACCCTGAGATCATGACCTGAGCTGAAGGCAGATGCTAACTGAGCCACTCAGATGCCCCTTGGCAACATTTTAAACCACACTTAATTTGTTTAAAGCTAAAGGTCATTAATCGAGCATATGAACTGATTTTTTTGTTTCCCCACTATTCATTCATTCATTCAACTGGCAAAATTAAAAAGGTTGACAATACCATATGTAAGAGATGGGGATCAATGGGATCCCCTTTGATCACTGGAGAGTTTGGAACAGTAATTTTGGGAAATGATTTGGCATCCTCTTGCAATTCCTATACCCTGTGAATCGGTCATTGCACTCCTGCTTAAATATATCCAAGGCAAAATTTAACTCAGGTACTTGCATGAGAATTTCACGGGTGCTTTCTTTAATGTAGCAAAAAGCTGAAACAACCCAAATGCCCTTGAAAGGGGGAATGAATAAATATGTGATAATCTATCCAGACAGTGGAGTATTGTGCAATAATAAACATAAAATAACAGTATGTATAATGACAAGGCAATGGGATCTTTTTGACTGTTCTGGAGTCAGAAAAGCAAGTCTCAGAAGCTGACATACCATACCCTTCCTATGAATTTCAAAAACAACTAAAAGCAAACAATACATTATTTAGCGAAGCATACAAAGGTAACGCACCTGAAAATTGGGAACCAGGAGACACCACATTCAGGATAGCGATTACCTCTGAGATGGAAGGATGAGACGAGGAGCCCAGAGGAGGTAGGAGCTATCCTCAAAGAGCTAGTTCTTGGGCAGGTTCACAGGTAATCATTAGTATCCTGCAAATGAACACATAAAGAATAGTTAAACTAAAAGGAAATAATGCACAAAACAGTGAGAGGTCATGAGATTAGGAGTATGATTAATCCATTGATGTGTCCCTGACATTTCATCTCTCCTTCTTCCCACTACCAGCAAAGACTCTCATGGTCAGACAGAAGAAATGAAATCCCTTTCAGAGGAACAAAAAAATCAGCAAGCTCCCTAAACTCCTTTGCAGCACTGAATGCCATAACTGTAAATTAAACTCATGTTTAGTTTGTACTATTATAATTTGTTTGTTTTCTGATGTTGAGATAAAGAAGGGTTCTTGGCCATCAGACTCCTGGGGACCTGGGGACCTGGGGTCAGAACACGCCACCAGTGATCTTTCTTTATCCAGTGACTTTTTTTTTTTTTTAGATTTTATTTATTTATTTGAGAGAGAGAGACAGAGCTAGCACAAGCGGGGAAGAGAGAGAGAGATAGGTTCCCTGCTGGGCAGGGAGCCCAATGCAGGGCTCCATCTCAGAACCCGGACATCATGACCTGAGCCAAAGGCACATGCTTAACCAACTGAGCCTTCCAGGTGCTCCTATCCAGTGACTTCTAACTCCCCTCCACCACAGGAAGGTGGGACTCGAGACCAGGAATGTTTTGAAAAGGAGAGGCCTCATAAAAGTGCCAGGAGATGTTATATATAGAAAGACACACGCCTTGCTTGCTTCTCCTAGAAATTCCAGAGCTCCAGGTAAACACGAAGGAGGAGCAAGAATGGGAATGCTATTGTGCCAGAGCCGAGGCAAAGCATAGATCCTTGGACAAAGCCCTTCTCTGTCAGGTGAATGTGACCTATTTATTCATTTGCCCAGATATGAATGATGTAATGAGTGACCATGTGTGCCAGGCACTATGCTGGGTGCTGGGCACTCTGTGGTGAACAAATCAAAGCCCCTGCCTGCAGGGAGTTTAAAATAAGTAAAGGATTTTAGAGGCTCCCAAACTTGCTGTGTGACCTTGGGAAAGTAACTTAACTTCTCTGGCCCTTGGTTTCCTGCAGGGCCTGTTTCATGGGTCCTGTGTGATTGTGCTTCATGTAGCGCTCTGCTGTGGTCGTCTTAACCATTCCTCGTAATTTTCATTTTCATTTTGCACTGAGTCCCACAAATTATGTAGCTGATCTTGGTTTCTTGACTTGTGAAACAGAGTTAAAATAGTACCTTCCTTGAAACAGAAACCAAGGTTTACAGGAAGGGGAAGTGAGGAGATGATGTCCAAATGGGTATAGAGTTTCACATTTTCAAAAACAAAAAAAAGAACAAAAATGTTTTAGAGATCTGTTGAATAGCAGTATGATTATACTTAACACTACTGAACTATACACTTAAAAATGGTTAAAATGGCAAATTTTATGTCATGTGTAAAAAAAAAAAAAACCCAAAATAGTACCTTCCTTATAAGGTTGTTAAGATAAATCCATGACCGAGTCTGGCACAGAAGCACCACATAAATGTTGTTTAGAAAATAAATTTAAGTGGCAAGTGCTAGAGAGTTTTCTTTGAAGTTGAAATGCTTCCATCTTGGATGAACATAACAAAACAACTGTGGCTAGCATTTGCCACACATTTACTATTCACCGCCCGGTGACAAGTACTTTGGATACAGACTTCCTTAAATCCTCTCAAGAACCCAGTGAATAGGTCCTGGATATTCTCCCTATTTTATAAATGAAGCAATGAGGTTCAGAGAGGTGACATCATAGGCTTGAGGTCACATAGGAGTTGCAATTTAAAAAGGGGTGTGCCTGAATGGGAAGGGCACTCTCTAACCACTGACTCGATCTTGCTGTGGAAGCACTTCTCCAGAGGGGCCCATGGAGAGGTGCCCTCTCTTCAGGTACCAGAAGCAAAGCCTCAGACTGCCCTGGCCCTCCTCCCTCTGGCTTCCACTTATCCTCGTTGGTCCTGTTTTTTTTTTTTTTTTTTTTTAGGATTTGATTTATTTATTCATGAGAAACACAAGAGAGAGAGAGGGGGGCAGAGACACAGGCAGAGGGAGAAGCAGGCTCCATGTAGGGAGCCCGATGTGAGACTTGATCCCAGGTCTCCAGGATCACGCCCTGAGCCAAAGGCAGATGCTCAACTGCTGAGCCATTCAGGCGTCCCTGGTCCTGGGTTTTGATCCTGTCTCTGCCCCTAGACTATGTTCTCAGACCTCATCATTTGCCTCCTCTATGCCTTTCCTAAGTCACCTGGCAGGTGCTTGGTAATTATTTGGGGAGCCCAAAAATGACTCTTGATAAGTGGTTCTGCTTGGCTTCTCCAGCAGTAACAAGCTGGGTAGATTAAAGCACAGCAGTGGCCTTGAATGTCCCCTCATACTTAGAAACCTCCCTGGAGGAAGTGCAAATAGGGACGCCTTGCAGGCTCTGTGTGCGGGGGAGGGGGGGAGCCTCCCCAACTCCGCATCCAGGATCGCTGATCTGAGAGACTTGGCACTCTGCTACGTGCTTGACGTGTGCTATCTCATTTCACCTTACCGTGACCCTGTGAGGTAGGTCTGATCCTTTTCCTGATTTTACACAGGAAGAAAACAGGCTCAGAGGGGGAAGCCCAAGGTCACACACCGGGGAGGTGAGGCCAGGGTTACAGCCAGTAGTGATGGAGTCAGGATTCAAATCCAGTTGGGAGCTTATGCTCCCTGTCAGGTGGTCCTGGTGGCCTCTGTTACACCTGTGCCTCTCTCAGGTGCACACTTTGCCTTCAGTTTGCTGGCTTTGCTCCTGGAGGAGTGGGGGGATGAGAGAAAGTGCTAAAGACAAAGGCTCTCATTCATCTCCTAGATACTTATGGAGTGTTCTAGGCATGGTTCCTGGCAGGCTTCTGGCACACGGGACACAGCAGTGACCAGCAAAGCTTTTTCTATCCTGGATTTTCCATTCTAGTGTTAGAGAGGTACAATAAGCACCTAGACAAAGGGGAGAGATGGCTATGGAATGCTTTAAGTATTGTGAAGAAAATAAAACAAAGTTAGCAAGATGGAGAATGAAGGGGGAGGGCAGAGGAGGATTTACACTCTATGGTCTTTGTGAGGAGGTGACATTGGAGTTGACATTTGAGTGACAAGAATGAGCTAGCCATGTGGGTTCTAGGGAAGAATTTTCTAAGTAGGATGAATGACAAGTGCAAGAATCTAGAGGTGTGAGCCATCACAGTCAAAGGCCTGGTGTGGCTCAAGTGTGGATCATCATGGGGAGTGACTGGGCTCAGGTCAGAGAGATTAGCAGAGGCCAGATCATGTAAAACCACAAAAGCCATTTATTTTTATTTTTATTTTTTCCTGGGGCCCGTCCTGCCTCACAAAAGCCATTTAAACAAAGTTTGATTTGAGACAGGAAAGTCCTATAAGGGTAGGAGAACTCAGGGTCATCTTATTTCAAAGTTCAGGGCAAATTCGACAAATGGCTGTTACCATGGGTTCCCATGACCCAAGTTACAGCTGAATCATATACCTCCCCGAAACATCCTAGAAGTTTCTGGTATCCTGAAGGGGCAAGGTGTTGTCAAGTGTGATTTATATAAAAGGCAGAGATTGGGTGACACATCCACCATGGCTCATAGCATCTTTCCCAGTGGTCATATGACCAGGGTTGTGGCTTCAGACAGGAGGGGAAGGATGATCCCAGTGACAGCTGTCTCTTCCTGCAGCTCCTAGAACCCGTTCTACCTGTCATGCAGGCTGGTGACATAGCTCTGTCAGGAACGGGTCAAAGGTAACCCTGATAATCTAGTCCTATGACTTGGTAAAGAGCTAGTGAGTCAGGAAAAGGAAGACAGGGAGGAGAAGGGAATGCTTATATTCCAACACTGATTGTGCCAAGGCACAGAGATTGTTCCAAACGCAGAAGCTGGAGAGTCTGATTCAGCAGGTCTTTGCAGGCTGTGCAGGTGATCTTGATGCACAGCCAGGATTAAAGACCCACCACATTTTAGGATGCACGTGGCTAAGGGCACAGATGCAGGTATACAGCCTCTGTGTAAAGCCCGGCTCTGCCACATAAGCCATGAGGGGTGCTGAGCAAGTGGCATAAGCTCACTGCCCCAGTTTACTCACTGTCAAATGGAGCTAATAATAATAGTACCTCATTCATAGGCTGTGGCAAGGAATAAAGCACCCTAGGGCAGTTCCTGCCCAGAGTAAGTACCACACAGACGTTGGCCTTCGTTGTACTATTTCATTGCCCTTCAGGACTGCCTTGTGAGGAAAGTATCATTATTATTCAGATTTAGAAATGAGAACTGAGGTGAAGTGACCTTTTCAAGGTCATACTGAAAAAGTTTTACTCAAAAAAAAAAAAAAGGAGAAAAGAAAAAAAATATATAGTCCATCCCCAAATGCTCAAATCATCTGGGCCCCGGTGGAGCCATTGTATCCATTGCACTGCAGACAGGAGGCAGAGGACCACCTTTCTTGCAGGGTTTCCTGGAAGGGGAAATGTGGTATAGTTCAAGAGTGAGGCAAAATTCTTCTCCCAGTCACGGCTGAGTAACTCCTTACTGGTGGGTCCTGCACATAACAACTATAATCTCTGGACGAACTACAAAAAACAAAAGACACACACAAAAAAAACCCCACAAAATTAAAATACCCGTAAAACAATAAAAAAACAGGCAGGTGCTAGATAGAGAGGTGTTGTCACTTGGAAGAAAGGGACAGTCCAGGCTGAGTGTCCCGTTTTCAAAGGCAGAGCAAATCCATGCCAAGGGACAGTGGCCAAAACCCTGTCAGAATATCTGGTTTTACTGGTCTGAAGAACCAGAGAAGAGGGAATGTGCAAACACAGCCTTTGGACGTTGAGTTGGGAATCCTGGAAAAAGAAGATTCAGAGAAGGGGAATCCAGATTCTATGTATGAGCTCTGCCCATATCTCTAGCAGAGCACTTAAAAAAAAAACCAAACTTTTATTTATTTATTCATGAGAGACAGAGAGAGAGAGAGAGAGGCAGAGACACAGGCAGAGGGAGAAGCAGGCTCCATGCAGGGAGCCTGACGTGGGACTCGATCCCGGGACCCAGAATCACACCTTGGGCCAAAGACAGATGTTCAACCACTGAGCCATCTCTAGCAGAGCACTTAATACAGGACTTCAGCTGCCACTCACCCCCATGAGGCAGTCTGCAATTTGAGTTTAGCCAAATTAACTGCCTGTTTTAAAAAAAGAAAAGAGTTGCCTGGGTGGCTCAGTCGGTTAAGCTCAGGCCATGACCCCAGGATCCTGAGATGGAGTCTGGCTCTCTGCTCAGTGGGGAGTCTGCTTCTCCCCCTCCCCACTGCTTGTGTTCTCTCTCTCTCTCTCAAATAAATAAGATCTTTAAAAAAAATAAAAAGAAAAAAAAAAGGATGAGACAGGCTGTTATATACTGATATGGAAGGGTATTCAAAATATATAATTAGATGCAAAGCAAAGATTGGTGCATAATATGCTTCCAAAACTATTTATATATGTGCGTGTGTGTGTATACACACACATATTTGTATATGTAAATGTATATAAATGTGAATGTATATACACATACATGTAGCCATATGCACTTGTATATATCTAGAAAATTTCTGAGAAGCTGAAAGGATCTACAAACTAGTAACAGTGATGGTCTTCTGGGAAGGGAAAATAGAATTGAGTCGTTGGCCCAGCGATGTAGAGCAAGAATCACTTTTTCCCTTTGTGGTTTTTTTTTAAGTCAGATTCATTGAAGTGTAATTTACATACAGAAACATTCACTGCTTTTTAGTTTACACTTGTCTGATTTCTGGCAAACACAATCACGTAGCAACCACCACAGGCCAGATATAGAATGTTTCCACCAGCCTCCAAAATTTCTGTGCGCTCCTTTGCCGTCTACTCCCAGCCCCTGACATGCATTGACCTGCTTTCTGTTCCTACAAATGGGTCTTTTCCAGTTAATCATGTAAATAGAACTATATAGTATGTTGCCTTTGAGGCTGGCTCCTTTCACTTAGCATATTGCACTTGAAATGCATCCATCTTGCTGTAAAACCAACAGAACGTTCCCTTCTGTCGCTGACTAATCTTTCATTGTATGGATGCACCATGGTTGGTTGACTCATCAGTTGAATATTTGGGTTATCTCCTGTTCTGGCAATCATCAATAACACTGCTACAAAATTAATGTGTAGGTTTTCCCATGAAGATAAATTTTCTTTTCTTTAAATTTAAATTCAGTTAATTAACATACAGCGTATTATTAGTTTCAGGGGTAGAATTCAGTGATTCATCAGTTGCATATAATACCCAGTGCTCATTACAACACGAGCCTTCCTTAATGTCCATCACCTAGTCACCCCTTCCCTCCAACCTCTCCCCTCCAGCGACCCTCAGTTTGTTTCCTAGAGTTAAGAGTCTCTTATGATTTGTCTCATTCTCTGATTTTTCTCTTATTTTATTTTTCCCTCCCTTCCCCAATGTTCATCTGTTTTATTTCTTAAATTCCACATATGAGTGAGATCATATGATAACTGCCTTTCTCTGACTGAGTTATTTCACTTATCATAATATCCTCTAGTTCCATCTACATCATTGCAAATAGGAAGATTTCATTTTCTGGTGGCTGAGTTATATTCGAATATATATAGTACAAATCTCGTTCTTCTGTTGTTGAATTTATTCCTAAGTACTTTATTCTTTTTGATGCTATTGTAAATGGAATTGTTTTCTTAACTTCATTTTTCACATTGTTCATTGATAGTCTGTATCTTCTTCAGTGATACCTCTCCCTGTACCACACTTTCTTGATTACTATAGCTTTATAGTAAATTTTGAAACAAGTAAGTGTGAGTCTTTATCCTTCTCCTTTATCTCCTTTATCCATTCCTCTGTTGATGGGCACCTGGGCTCTTTCCATTGTTTGGTTATTGTGGGCACTGCTGTTATGAACATTGGGGTGCAGGTGCCCCTTTGGATCACTGTTTGTATCCTTTGGGTAAATACCTAGTAGTGCAATTGCTGGGTCATAAGGTAGCTCTGTTTTTAACTTTTTGAGGAATCTCCATACTCCATGAGAATAAGTTTTCATCTCTTTGGTAGATAACTAAGAATGTGTTATCAGGCCACATGGTAAGCATATGTTTAACTTCTTGAGGAACTACCAGGCTATCATCCACAGCAACTATACTCTTTTACATTTGCATCAGCAATGTATTGGGATTCCTGTTTCTCACATCCTCACAAACATTTATTATTGTCCTCCTTTTTGATTGCAGCCATCTAGTGGGTAGGTATAAAGTCCTATTGTATTGTGGTTTTGATTTTCATTTCCTTAGTGACTAATGATATTGAAGGTCTTTTCATGTGCATATTGGCCATTTGTATATTTTCCTTAGAGATGTATGTATTCAAATACTTTGAACATTTTATTTTTATTTTTTTAAAGATTTTATTTATTTATTTATGAGAGACACAGAGATGGGGTGGGGGTGGGGGGAAGACATAGGCAGAAGGAGTAGCAGGCTGCATGCAGGAAGCCTGATATGGG